TTATCTTCTACAGACACAAACTTTATTCTTCGAAAGCCAATAGCTTTTGTGACGGATGGGTCTCTTAACCATCTTAATGGGTAGTCAAAACGATAGCCTTCATGCTTTACGGTATCTGTCTCAAACTTTTGACCGACATTAGTAAAAAGTTCATCTAATGGTTTAGTTGTAGCAACTCTAGAATTTTCTTTTTCTATTGAAGCATATTTTATCTATAATAAAAATGTCAAATGAAACAGCGTCTATGAGAGAAATACAACACAACCGACAACTCATTATGCAAGCTCTAAATAAGAACACAACAAACTTTTCAAACTATTCTAAGATATCTGAGTCATTGAAAGGGGGTGACTTAAAACTGACATTAAACCCTATAAACAGATGAGTTTCTATTTCAAGACAATAAGAACAATACTGTCTGTATAAATCCAACAAAGGAACTTTAAACGAGAAACCTATAAATGAACTTCTTTTGAAAGCAGATGTTGACAACAAAGCTGACAAAGAATATGTAGACGATGCAATAGCAAAAGAAGAAGAAAGAGCTAACAATGCTTATGCAACAAAAGAACATACTCATCCTGAACTAGCAGACAAAACATATGTGACAATAAAATGTCAAGTGAAGTGACAAGAGCTGAAAACGAATATTCTAAAAAGGCTCATATACATTATATTAACCAAATACCAAGTCTTAAGGAAACATTAGAGACAAAGCAGATAAGACTCATACACATTCTATATCTGATATTACAAACTTACAAGAAACCTTAAACAGGAAAAGTGACGTTGGACATACACATACCATTGCAAATATTACAAACTTACAAGAAACCTTAAACAGGAAAAGTGACGTTGGACATACACATACCATTGCAAATATTACAAACGTACAAGAAACCTTAAACAGGAAAAGTGCCGTTGGACATACAGTTAGTATACATATCATGGGTACGGAGTCACTGCGCGCCTCCTTATCCATTATATGTGAATTTGACACTTTACAAAACTGCTAACGTATATTTTACAACACAAACGACAACACTATCTTAACCTTAAATATTTACAAAGCCGCCAACCACTTCACCTCACTAATGTAAAAAATAAACGTTCTCACTTACAAAAGTATTGCAACTCCTCCCATTGCTGTGCTTCACATAACAGTTCATATTCTTCTGACTCACTTTCTTCTTCATATAGGTCAAAATCACTGTCAAAATAAATGTTAGTAAGTTTTGACAAAGCTAATGAAACACGCTTACCGTTTGTATCGTATGCTTGTATAAACTTTCCATTATGCTTGTAGTCATAAACGCTCAAACTAACTTTACCCTTTCTCCCTCGTATCTGATAGAATGTATTTTCACGAGGAACGAAGAACAAATTCTTGAACTCATGACCGTTGTAGTTTGTTATCTCAATAGTTTTCGTCATTTATATAAAAATAAACTTAAAAATAAATGATATCACCACCCTCACACGTATGAAAACATAATGCAAAAATAAATTTAGGGTAGAAGGTTAGATCTAACCCGATATCTAACCTCTTTTCTACCATGTTGAATTCATTGCTTTATAACTCTCTTCCTTTCTCCAACTCTTCTAGCTTCTTCTTAAGTTCAGCAATGTTGTCCTCATGAAGTTTAATCTTTCTCAAAATTCCTTCTTTATCTAATGGTTGCTTTATCTTTCTAAACTGAACTCTACCATCTTTCATTTGATGAATGTAAAAACCTTCTGGAATAGTTCCTGATTTAATGTATTCTACCAAAAACTTTTGTTTCATTGCTTCAGTGACTTTAGTCGTCATTTCAATCAAATAAAAATTTTAATATTAAATAAAAATAACGTTATTTTTTCAGTAAGGAAACGCAGGAGTTTTACGATTTATTTGAGAAGTAGGTTCTGGTTTAAATGTTGGAGTCGGTTTAGGAGTTGACTTTTGAACAGGAGTTTGTACTTCCATAGGTTCAGGAGTCATTGAAGGTGTGTTTGTGAAGGCGTTGGTTTTGGCGAAGGTGTTGGAGTTTGTTTAACTTCACTACTTCAGTATTATTTACAACATTTGCTTTATTTCTTTTCAACATCATAACTGCTCCTGCTGTAGCTAGCAAACCTAGTGGGAGACCATATCTTATATAAGGACTTGACCAAATGCTATTTTTGACAGAGCTGGTGGAACACCTAACCTTGGTGAGACTGCTCTTTGCCATTGTGCAGCTCGTAAGAAATATTCAATAGGTGCTCCATAATCGTTTGGTAAAGTTTGTTTCATAGATGGTGAAGGTTCACGAGAGCTTGATGAAGAACTCATTTATAAGCTTTAAAAATAAACGTTCATCCTTTATTCCTCACTGTCGTCCGCGGCTAAGTTATAGTCATCTAATCTTATTATGGGGATGCCTGACGCACCTGAATGGCAAAGCAACAATCCCTCATAAATCCAATAAGTGGCTTTGGTACATTTTCAGTTGCTAGTTCAATAGGTCCTTTAACAGACAATTTGTATGTTATTGGAGCAGTAGATGTTTGACCTTGCTGGAAGCAAAAGTCCACTTCTGTTGGAAAACCACATAAGAAATGTGTGTTGTCATAGCTATCCCATTTATGTTCCACACTACCATCATCCACCAATGACCTCATAACATCTTCATTAAATCCTATCATATCATTGTTTGTATTGCAAGCGTTCGCAACCATTTCATAAAATACAGGTCCATATGATTTTTCAGGTTCTGCAGGCATATTTCCATAAGCTCCCATGGAAAGCTGAAGATATTTAAACTTAGGGTTCTCAAAATTAACATAATAGTTGTCTTTCTTTCTAAATAGTGCCCAAATACTTTTAACATTAATAGGCGTATAAGCTGCTGTAAATGTTGCACTTGAACTATCTGTATTCTTTGAGAATGAACCGTCCATAGGAATCCAATCCATAACTTTAACAGGAAAACATAAAGCCTCGTTTGTATAATGTTCTACAAGTTCTGTATAAATGTTAGGGTCTAAAGAGAATGACTTTGGATGAATGAAACATTCATTAAAATCCATCTTTGTTCGAAATAGTTGCTGGGTTACAGTTGTAATAGTAACTGTTCCACTAGCTTCTACTGCCTTCGTTATCATAGTGAATGGTTCATTCCATGGAACAAATTTATTTGTCGGTGGATTTGAATCTGAAGCAAATGCAACTTTAAGAGTTGGATTGAAAGCAATGATATCATTTACAGATATAGATGTGCATTGTAAGGCGTCGCTACTGAACTTTACTTTAAGCTGAATGTTTCCTGCAAAAGCTGGAATAAATCGAATAGCTTCTAATGGAAGGAATCTTCTAACAGGAATTCTTAAACGAAGCTTAAAATCAAATGATTTTCCTGCTGTAATTGGACCACTAACAATTTGTCCTGTTCTGCATGTTCCCGAATGACTCCATACATCTTCATGTCGAGTCTTTGAGAAAACATCTACTTTCTTTATTTGTTCGGTAGTTTGTGAGTTTGAAGTTATATATGCTTCTTCTCTTGCGTTGTCTTGAGAATATACGATACGACCATTTGCAAGGATTTGATATCCAGCAACTGCATAGAAAGCGTCATCGAAACCAATCCAAAATCCTGGTGGGTTTGTTTTATTGGAACCTGAACCAATTTCTTTATCTACAATAAATTGACCTTCCATTTTATACGTAATGAATGTATTGTAAAGGTCCAACATATTTTCACCAGGAGGTGAGAGATTGAATGTTACCCATGTGTTATCTTTAGCAGTTCCAGGTTGTGATGGAATCTTTGCGTCAGAATATTTTCTATTATTGTCACCAATTTGAACTGCATTGTCTATGATATCGAAATATGAGCGAATCTGATGAATATGCTCTGCTGGAGTAAATTCGTTTAGCTGTTCGTTCTGCATGTATTTACTTCAGATAAAAATATCTATTTACTTCATTATTCTCACTCTTCTTCTTGGCATTCGTGGTGGAAGTTGTTTCTTGACATTTTCAATGAACTGTACATTCTCTTTTGTCTCAACTTCTTTCACTGGTGGGTCAGGGTTCTTTGACTCGGTTTGTTTTTCAATGAAATTCACGAACTTTGCAATAAGCTCTTGGTTCGTTATTGAAAGTACATCTGGCTTCTTTTCTTCTGGTTCTATTGACTTTTCAGTTTGAACAGAAGGTTTTATATGGGCTTCGTGGACTTCACCCTTGCCATGCACCTTAATGTTGTCGCTTTCTGCATTCGCTAATGGAACCTTTCTTTTTCTTACGTATATTTTACCATCTTTACTCTGACTTACGTAATAGAAAGGATGTTGTATTCCTCTTGCGTCATTTAATATAATAGACTCTCGCTCTGATTTTGACAAGCTCATTTTACATCGGTTAAAGTTTTAATTTTGTTTTTTATCTGCAGTCAAATGACTCAGAGAAGCCCTACGGACAAGACCCAAGGGGTCATAGATGTTGAAGCATTGAAGAAAGAAATTCGTGAGCAAATTTTATCCGAACTGAAGGAACAAAAACAAGAACAAAAGCCAGAGAGACCAAAGAGAAAACTTAGTGAAAAACAACTTGCTGCATTAGCTGCTGGAAAACAAAAGAACCCAAGACTACTGGCGAAGAAAGCTAGAGAAGAAGCTGAAGCAAAAGCTAAAGAAGCTGAAGCAAAGAAAGAGTAAATGGTTATTTTTATCCGAACTAAATGTATAGACAAATACCTTTATCTGTTGCGTTCAGTAGTGAAAACCCTGACGTCAAAATAAAGGGGAACAGAGTAACGTTTAAGTTTCCAACAGACTGGATTGTGAACATAAATGAAGAGAAGTACATTGGCATAACATCTATGTATATAACACGTGCTTTCAGAAAGGTTGACTTTATACTTCAAGTCGAGATAGAAAATGACGAACAGTCTTTAAGCACCCAAAACATTCACATATACAAATACTTTAAAGACGATACAACATTGTTGCAATGTATGTTTTCATTTAATGAGATGTTCGAGAAAAAGTTCAACATTGAAGTACAAACTTTACAGCCTTTACATGAGTTTCTTGTACAACTGAAAGAAGAAGGTAGTCAGCCACAACTTATAGACTTTCATTATGAATTTAATGAAAATGAAGATGGAACTCATGTCTGTCAGTTTGTTATATATTCACCATTCAATGAAGTAGCTAAAAAGAAAGAAAATCCATTACGTATAAGATTTCAAATCTCTGAACCCAATGATGATTTCAAGAATGTTTTCAATTATGATGCAATGCTTCCGAGGAAAAATGAATTTTCAAAGATTGTAACACCTGGCGTTTGGGATAGAAAGCAAGCTATATTATATTCAAACTTAAGTAAGGGAGTTGAAAATGAGTTCATTGGTCATACAAGAACTTCACCACTTCCTAACCCTAAATACTATAAATTAACTGGCTTCAATCGTGAGTTTTGGATAGACATGTTCTCCACTCATGACCATAACTGCCCAGTGTTCTTACCTCCAGACCATAAGGACTGTCTCTACATTGAAGCACAACTCTTAAACTCTACCATTGCAGTATTGTAAATGACCACATGGGCTTCGCCCTTGCCGCTAGCGGCTTATTTTTATCATGAATGGTCTCACTGCTGACAAAAATAAATGACCTCATTATTTTTCTCATTCATGACCTCAGAACTTAAGCTTTCTTATGAATGAAGTCTTAGTCTGAATAGAAAAGTTAAACTTTTCAGCAAAGCAAGGACTAGAAGACTTACATAAGTCAAATCCAATCTCTTGACCGTCATAAAGTGCTTTATATAACTTCATAACACTGAACTCAGAGTCTTTGTCATATGTTCCAACAGGTATGTGAATGTTCTTATCTTCATTGTAATAGCATTGTATAGCTTCAGGAAACATTTCATTTGCTGTTAAAGCAAGGACGTCTTGTTTGACACCTTTGCAACGTGCATGGAATGCAACTTCATTTAAATCATTCGTGAGTAAGTCTATGTAAGTCTTCTTTCCACAAAATATTGACTTGTATGCTAAACTTTGTTTTCCAAGTGTTATTTCTGCGAAGTCAGAATGAAATTGACCAAGGTTCTTTCCTATAAGTTCGCGACCGTATCTCTTCTTAAACTCTGCTGCAAGCTTAGGTATGTCTTCATTGAAAATATGCATGCTATCACAGTCCTGGTAAAAGATTTGAAGTCCCATATCTTCAGCAGTACAGAATACTTCACACATTATTCTCTTCGACATAGATAAGATATTAACACCTAAGGGGCAAAAGTTAAAGTGTCTGCAAATGCTTTTCGTTAGCTTGAAAATAGTTTTATCTGAACCATCCAAACCTTCGAACTTCACTATATGGTTATAATTTCTTATAGCATATCTTATAGCATCTTTGTCATTTACTATGGTTATTTTTGACTCAATAGGAGATAGAATAGTTTTGCCATAAATACTGTTCAAAATTAATTTAATATTTTCTTGCAAAGGATTTCCTTCTTTCTTATACTTTAACCTTAACTCAAACAACTTCTTTACTTCATCTCTTATTCTAATATCTCTGTTTCCATCGTAATAGTATCCTTGCAACACTTCACATTTGACACCTTGATATTTTATGAGGTCTTGTAATGTTATATGGTCAACATACATTAAACAGCAAGTGTTTGAACTTCTGGGAACGTTAAGTTCTGGATTTAGTTCAGGGTCACAAACTATTAAAGGAAAGTGTCTATGTATGCCAATCTCTGTTATCTTAATGAGAACAAAGAAGCCAGACATAAACTTTTCACCAATGGGTTCCTTTTGGTCGTCATCGAATAAATGTCTCATGAGATACTCCGTGCTTAACATTTCTTTCTTCATAACCTTTGGAATACCTTCTAAAGTATAAAGTCTTGCTATAGCGGATGGATATAATGAAACAGCGTCGAAATCAGCAATGAGTTTCTTTTCGCTCTTTTGTTTCATGTTATCTGACAGCATACATCTTCCACCTTGAATACAGCGTGAAATAAATTCTCTTGGTTTATTTGAGAGGTCATATAAATTTCCATTCGGGAAGTACACTCTGTTCTCAAACAATTTGTTAGCAATAGAACAAATACTAACGTAGTCATATACGTTTAAATCAAACTCTTTCAATATGTCATTGCGGAACTTAACAAAACCTTCTCTTAAAATTCTTACATCTTGTTTGCAATAGAATGTGCTATATTTTTCTAAGTCGAAGTGGTTCTCATCTATTCTGCAACCTTTGATGGAATCTATGTTTTTCATGAATGTATCCGCATCCTGGATAAACTTACACGCTTCAGAAATGACACCAGTTCTGTTGTCATTTGCTAACAAAACACTGCTGTAGTAGTTGTATGGAAATACTTCTTTCGGTCCTGTTTGTAAGTTAAACATAGCAGGAAATAGTTTAAGCTTCTTATTTATAACACTGTAAGAGTCTTTTATAATAATTGCCCTTCCTTTATATAAGCCAGTTATTTGCATTGTTCGTGAACCTTTAATGATGGGAGTTCCTTTCACTTCTGTCATGTGTCTTAAGATGAAGTTTATATCATAACTGAGGTTATGGAAATATATTAAACTCTTGTCAGGAAGTCGCTCCAAAAATTCTGTTGCACAGTTCTGACCCAAATGCTTTCACTCACTGAACCATCTTCACTGTCATAACAGATGTTAAAAGCTTTATGAAAGCCATCGGTACTGCACTCAAAGTCAGCAAAGAAAACATGCTCAGGAATGAACTTGCACTTATTTTATTTACTTCTTTTGACTCGGCTTCTTCTTCAGTTGTACACAATACTTTGGAGCATATGTCAATCTTTAAATGGTGCAAGGTTCTGTTTATATAAGTCAGTCGTATATGTGAAAAGTTCTCCATAAGAAATAGGTTCGAAATATTTGCACTCCCACAATGTTTTCATAACATCCCATAACGGTGTTGTTCTATCATAACGAACTACATATTTGTTCTCTCTCTTTGTATAAATCTTCATTTGTTTCTCAATGTTCATTCCACCACAAGCTTTGAGAATTTCTATATAGTTGTGAATGAAGTATGTTGTCATTGGTAATCTTTCGTTTAGCATGTAGTGGTCTTCAACAAGAAGTAAGTCAATAGTTCTAACAGTTTCACATTCTTTTGGTATATATCTCTTTATTTCATTATGTCTTGAGTCATTGAAATAACCAATGGTAACATTAAATGCTATACCTGTTGCGTCAGAAATTTCTTGTACTTTACTTTGAGGGAAGTCTCTAACACGAATGACTTCTCTCATGTGGTCAATAGTTTCTTCATCTACTCCAGCCTGAATGCAAGCATAAACAAAACAATTGTCCTCTGTCATAAGTGCTGCAGTTCTTTTGTTCAATTCATTGAAGATTTGGTAGCGCTCAAGATTTATAGGTAATGTGCAAAGATACTTCCAGAACTGACCGCTTCTCTTCTTATAAAACTTCTTTTCACCATTATCTTTCCAAAAGCTTTCTATAGGTGCTGGGTTTCCTGTTTGCTTAAGAGCTTCCAAAATGGCTTTCTGGTCATTTGTCAGTGCTTTCATCTCTATATGGTCTCTTTTTTGGTTGCCTTTCTTTACATCTGACATCGTAAGCCTTCATATTCTGTTAAATCATACATCTTTATTTCGGTAAGATTCTTTATGTTTGTCAAGAAGAAGTCATAGTGCATTCAACAATACCTGCAGCATTTTGCTTCTATCTCTGATATAAAGTTCTCCTTCAAGAGCTGATGTAGTAATGTTCCAATATTATTGAGATTTAACGTAGAACATTCATACTTTCCACCAAGTTTATAACATACCATCCATCTCTGTTGTGAGTTTATTTTAATCTTCTCTAAGAGTCTCATGAAAACCTTACCGAAATGTTTGTGTAATAGTTCTGTTTGGTTCATCTAAAGCTTCGATGTTAAAGTCAATGAGTCTATTGCCTGTCTTCACATTCCTCTTCCTATTCTCTTCATCTTTCTTTAACCATCTCTCACCTTCTTTGGTTTGTCGTCAATGGAACGAATGACATCGTTACTTTGCGAACTTGTTCTATAGCACTTTTAAACATCTCTCTTCTCTGTTGTTTCAGTGTGTCGTCTCTCTTTCGTGTTTTACCAACGTTTGCATTTGTTATGTCATACATTTCTCTTCTTACTTCATGAGGTACTGAACGTCTATGATATAAGTCAATAACAATGTCATTTAAAGGAAATGCTCTTGCATGGACTTCGTCCTCGCCGCGTTGCGGCTTTATGAACTCATGAATTCTATCATAACTTATTGCACCATTATAGTCATTGAGGATGTCAGCGAGTGCTTTTTTGTTTGTCGCGTAATGTTTTGCAACATCTATGTTAGCTTCTGTAAGAAGTTGTTTTATTTCCGAGTGTTCTAACTTAGACAACTTCCGATACATCTTTAGTAGGAAATAAAAAAATATTTTTTGAAAAAATTAGATTAGATTTTTTAAGTTATTTTTCAAAATAACTTAATATTTTTATTTTAATGAAACACATGCAAGATTGCAAGTTCTTTTCATACAATGCTCTCGCTACTGCCATCAAGAATGAGTTCAATGGTGCTTCAAATGTTAATGTTATCTTTAACAAGAAGTTTGTGAAAGAATCTAAGTTTGGTCAGTATGTCAGACCATTAGCTATCGTCATTGACCGCAAACGTTATACTTCACAAGAGTTAGCAGTATTTTTGAAACAAAAGAGTTTCTTCGTGAATGTCAAAGATACACACTATACTGTTATAAAGAACTCCAACATTGACTTCTTCAGTATTGCTATGAATCTTTCCGAACAGAAAGAATATAAGAAGGGTGAAACAAATGTGAAATATTATCCTTCATCTCTGAAGACAATAACGAACAAAGATGTTATACAAAAGTTCTTACCAAAGGTTGAAGAAGCTTCTATTGACATTGACGAAGGAAGTGAAATGGTTGAAGAAATTGACCCTGAAGCTTTATAAGAAAATTCATTTTTGAATAACTGAAAGTGTCACCATGTCACCGGGTTAATTAACTTCTCTTAAAAATAAACTTGACGAACAGACAATTGTCTGTTCGTCAATTATGTTCGACATGGAGCGTTTATGGAAACAATTAAACTTGACGAAGGGTTTTGTTTTTTATCGTGGTTTTCTCCACTATGGTCCTAACGTGGCACCCCACGAGATTTTTTTCATTCTTCCTCTTTGAAGTTGTCGAAATATTCTGTTATTTTTTCCTTCAGTAATGTTAAGTCTTCTTTGAATGTAAGTATTGTGCAACCTTTGATGTCATAGTGTGTTTGAGGAAGAGTATTTTTGACAATTTCCTTTATTTGCTCATTCGGTGTCATTGAAATCGGTAAGTTTTCACGATAGAACCAGTTTCTGTCAGATTTATATATCTTAGCGAGGTCATAAAAGCTTTTGTTGTTTCTTCTCACTAAAGGCAACATAACCATATCTTTATCTTCTTCATTTTCCAACTCTTCAGTATATATCATATACTTATAACTCTTTTCCTTTCCTTTTGGTACTGTACGTGGTATTCTTTTCTGTATGCTTTTGTCTTCTTTCATCATATCTTCTCTCTGCTTTGTACAAAGTTCGTCAAGTAGCATAAGTATGTAGATTGCATAACGAGGTGAAGCCCACATTGCTATTGAACTAACTAGGAACTTATGAACATATATACCTTTTAGATGTGATGGTAAGTTTTGCCTGTCTTGGTACATCTTTTTAAGTTCTACATGTTCAAACTCACTGAGGAGTTCATGAGTGCTATTTAATTCAAACCATTCATTTGGTGTTTTATTCTCTGGAGCAAAACATGCTGTCAAAATACTTTGCACCTGGTACATGTCGTCTTTGACAGAACGAATAAGACGTAACTGTTTGTTATACTGTATGTACTCGTATTCTTCATTTATGACTTCATGGACTATAACTGTTGTTGTGTTCTCTAATGTTGTCATTACTGTTTCTTATATACAAGATAAAAAATTTTGTTAGAAAAAAATTAGCGTTATTTTCTGACTTTCACAAAAGACCAAAAATAAACGCTTTACATGTATTTTTCAGCAACTTCGTCAAATAATTTTATAGCTTTATCTATCTCATCTACTTCAAACGTTTCTTTACCTTTCATGGGAGCACCATACATTTTCTCAAACTTTTCAAGTAGTTCTGTTTCTGCAGCTCTCATATCGTTAACGAACACAACCTTGACTCTATTGACTGTACTGTCATATCTTTGAGTTATATTATATGTTCTTCCTATCTTATATCTCTTTGTATTGAAGTCCTTCGGTTTCTGAACGATGTAAAGTAAGCCTTCACTGCAACGTTCCGTATCGAATGAACCATAAGTTATGAAGTTATATCCAACAACTGGGTCAATCCATAGAAGAATTATTGGTATAAGACTTTTGTCAATGAGATATGCTGTAGTTCCATAGAATCTTACTGATATCATAAGCTCAGGATTTCTTGTCAAAATTTTCTGAGTAGAAGCAATTCTAACCCAGTCCTTTGTTTTCTTTCCAGATGGTGTTATAATGTCTGACAAAGAATATTTGTTGTATTTCTTACAGTATCTTACGTTTAAATCACCAATTCTAACCACTTTGGTGTCATTGTCAATCTTTCTAACTGTTTCAAACTCAATGTTTGTCATTACTGTCTTTACATACAAAATAAAAAAATAAATAAAAATAAAACTAACTTTATTTTTTCTATCTAATGAAATTCATTATTTTTGTGCTGAATTCAATAAAAATATATTTTAGTGTAGATGGTTAGATCTAACCCGATATCTAACCTCATTTCTACCCCAGTTATTTTATAAACGTTTTAGATGGTAAACGTTATGAATTCGTGAGATTCTAAACAGTTTTGTAGCTTCTATTTCTTCGCTGAGGATATCAAAAGTTTTAACAATGCCGAAGGTTTCTTTATACTTCTTCTTGACGTCAGATAATAGGAAATCGTCAGCAGTTGGATAGTTTTTATTCAGAAATGCTAACATGTCCATTTTATTTTCTGCTGGTTTTTCTGCTTCTTTCTTTAAGTCTGGATAGTCGTTTCTCATACGTTCTATCTCTTTGACGGAGTAGTTATATTTCCTCATTGCTGCTTTACATTTTGAACATTGCGGATTCATTTTTGCGTTATACATTGAAATAAAACCAGCTAGAACAACCAAGGCGTCAATGGTTTTCTTTAACTCAAAGGCTGCTGGTTTTATTTGTCCATTCCATACTTTACCTCTTCTATCTTTATCTCTTATCTGCCATACACATTTTGCAACTAATGAAACAAAGTTGTCGTATGTCTTAAACTCCCCCGATTTATATATGTCAGAGATGTTCTTATATACCATGTCGCAATCTTTGTCCATAACTTTATGGTTGCAATGATATCCTAGAAACTCATAGTTTACTTTACGTATGAACTTCTTTATTTCTGCAGAATCACTAACTTTAACTTCTATTTCATCGAATTCAGGAATAGTGAGCTTTTGTTGTTGGATTTCAGGCAATTTGGGTAAATGGTAAATAATGTCCTGCATGTCATAAAGATATTCTTCATTTTCTTCATCCTGTGCGGTACAGTCTAAATTACTTGTTAAAAGTTCCTGCTTAATTTTTTGTATTTCTGTTTCGAAAGTAAATAAAGAAGGAATGAAGCTTTTCATCTCTACTAACATAGATGTTGGATTCATGACTAACGAGTTTGGTGCTGTTGTTTGAATTGTTGTTGTGCCGATTGTTGAAATCATATCTTTTATACAAAATAAAAAAATAAATAAAAATAAAACTAACTTTATTTTTTCTATCTTAAGGAAATTCATGAAAATTCAAGAGGGTAGAAATGAGGTTAGAAATCGGGTTAGATCTAACCATCTACTCTAAACATTATTTTTGGTGTAAATTTATGAAAACATTAATATATAAAATTCATGAAAATTCAAGAGGGTAGAAATGAGGTTAGATATCGGGTTAGATCTAACCATCTACTCTAAACATTATTTTTGGTGTAAATTTATGAAAACATTAATATATAAAATTCATGAAAATTCAAGAGGGTAGAAATGAGGTTAGATATCGGGTTAGATCTAACCATCTACCCTAAAATATATTTTTGGTGTAAATAAATGGTACCATTAATGATATCATGACTGTTCTCGTTCATGTCTGATTTACATCTAATGAAAAAGTTTAGAAGAATTTTCTTATTCTTTCTGGCATATTTTTGTCTTTCCAATACTCCCGCTCTAATGGTCCCAGATGTGTTGGCTTTGACTCTCTCAAGTTCTTAGATGGTATAACATCTTCAACGCCTCCTTCATATCTTACTTTATAAGTGTCATCGTTTATGTTATAGCCAAGTATTTCAATAACCACTCCTCGCTTTGCTTCGTCAATGGTTTCAGCAAGTTTGCCATTACTACTTTCAACTAACTTATGTCGAGGGTAAAATGCTATGGAGTCGTCAGCAGCTTTTATAAGATATCCATTACCTTGCGTAGAGTCTACGATATAATAATTTCGACTTAACCTTAAACGTTTCTTTGTCAACAGTTTGTCGTCAAGAACTACACGAACTTTTGTACCAGGAATGAGGGTAAATTGTGTTGAATTTCTGATATTTTGTGTTTGACTTCGTTTCTTTTGTATATACTTTTCTTCTTGTTGTTGTGTCATTGAATTTTGTGTATGTCCTGTTGTAGAATGTGTTGAGGAATTATATACTTCGAGAAAATGTTTCATTGTTTCTTCGGTAAAGTCTCGCTCTTGATTTAAATCTCTGAGAGTCCTTATGAAGCGGTTTATGATGCCGAGTATGTTATGGTTATGGTCTTCGGTAGTGTAGTGAGTTATGTTATGCTTAATGAGAAATTCTGTGATTTCATTGCTGAGGTATGCACTGTCTTGGTCTGATGTTAAAGTACTTGGGCTATGTTCTGCTACAAACTTTTGTAAAACTCTTAACACTTCACGAGTTCCTTTATTTTTCATTGAATATGCATATGCTTTACGAGTGTTAACATTAATGAAGATGAGGAATGGTTTATGTCCTCCTTTTCTGCTTTGATTGAGAGTGTCAAATTGGTATGCGTCAGGAGCGTTGGAGTAAATTGGTAAAAAGTAGTCGTAAGGGTTTATTTTTGTTTGATGTACAACATTTTTGTCAAAGAACCTTTTCACTTCAGCTCTGTTAGTAAATCCCCAACTCTTTGCAGCTTCATTGAACTTCTTAAATGACCTCCATGGATGTTGTTCGAATACTTCTTTCAAGCTCATTTATGTAAAGTTAAAGATTTTATTCAAGACGGTAAGCCTTGACCCAAAGGGTCTAGGCTCAAGCGCGTTCATTGAACGCGGTACCATGCAAATACAGTCATAAATGGTGGCATGTAATCTTCACCCGAGCCCGTTGGATTTGTTGTGAAAGTATGGACATGATTTCCTCCTGGTTCAGTTGGTCGAAAAGTCTTTTTTGCTGAATTGTTATAAGATGGAGATAAAACGTCATGGCCAGCTTCATAGTCTGAGTTGTATAATGGGTGGTCTCTTAATGAGTGACTATGGTCGCCAGAAAAGTTTGTAGTTCCTGTATGAGTGTGCGGTGGAAGGTTTGCTTCTAAAATTTTCTTTGAACCACCTGTTTGCTTTGAAGAGTTAGCACAGTATAAGAATTTGTCTACAATCTGCTGCCATGTACCAAAACCCAGAACTGTTGCTGGATTTGTTGAATTCATTGACGTATAAATAGAGCCTATAGGATATATGGTTTCAAGAATCTGAGTCTTTAATGTTTGAAGCTCTGTTTTATCTGCTTTAAGGTCTAAACATGCTGAAACCCATCTTGTATCAGCTTTAACTTTAAAAGTCTCCGATGTCCATTCATGATACCATTCAACCTTTTCTTTAATTTCATTATCTTTTTCATCAACATAAGTTTTATCTGCTTTAAGGTCTAAACATGCTGAAACCCATCTTGTATCAGCTTTAACTTTAAAAGTCTCCGATGTCCATTCATGATACCATTCAACCTTTTCTTTAATTTCATTATCTTTTTCATCAACATAAGTTTTATCTGCTTTCTTATCATATAAATCTTGAGCAGTGAATTTAACATTATTTTCATCATCCATGACATAAACATTTTTACAGCTAATTTCTTTCTTCGTTGTTATGTTTTCATTCGATGTTAAACCTTGTGGAAAGTTAGGAGGTTTATAATATAATGCATCCCCACAAGTTCCGCCAACCGTTCCTTCAATACTTTCTATAGCAACAGTTGTGAAGAATTTATGTGTATGTTCTTTATCTGCTTTTTTATCTAACATTGCTGGTAGTTCATGTGTTTCAAAGTTTCTGACATGACCTTCAATGTTCATACATTTACTATTTAAGGAGTTTAGTGTATCTTTTACGCTTGTACTTGGATTCTCTAAAGGTGCACTTGAACCAAGGGTATAGTTCAATATTATGTCGTCTGCTCTAACAGTAGTGAAGGATTCATGTGTATGGTTCTTGTCAGCTTTACTATTTAATGTAGCTTGAAGTTCATTTATATCGGAGATATTGTGTTTATGAGATTTCAAAACTTTGTTCGTTGCGTCAAGTTCATCTTTGTCAGCTTTACTTTTAATAGCATCTTCAAAAGTTATTTTTGACTTAACTCTCAAAGTAAATCTTGGTTCAACTAATACACCGTTAACAAAGAAGTATGAAGCATAAATTTCATTGTTATAACCAAATGCTTCTGGTGCTTTACCTGTGTCATACTGTACAGTACAGTGTATGTCATAACCTTTAGCACGAATGAATTTATATCTTCTTTCATTAACATCTTTCGTCTTCACTTCTTCATCCTGTGTTAAATATCCATGGTAGTCCGTTATAATCTGTTCGTCTGAAGTTATATAATGAACATGGTTTTTATCTGCTTTTTCGGCTAATTTCTCTTCTATCTCATTTATTTCAAGTTCATGCCTACCACCACCTCCCGAAGAAGTATTTTTCTTCAGCTCTTGAAGAACGTCCACTTCGCCATCTTTGGTGTCAATAATGAGACTTTGTGTTAAAACTTTTCCTGTCTTAATGGATGTTTGTAAAACTTCTTCTTCACCGTGTTCGGGGTCATGGTCGTCATCATATCTTGTGAAATCAGAGATGTTGTCATACATTAAGCATATCTGTCTCAAAAGTTCTGCTATTTGAAACTGGAACGAAAGATATACAGAACTTTCATCATCTCCTAAAGTCAAGTCTGCTTTCTTAAGTATTTCTTGAATGTATGCAATGAGAACAGAATACCTTGGAAAATATTCGAACAATATTTCATTAGCTGTTGGTTTTGGTGGTTCTTCTGGAGTTTCTGTTGTTTCAGTTCCTTCTGTAGGTTCTGTTGGAGTTTCTGCATCTCTTGACTTCAATGCTCTTGCTCTCAAAGACCTAAATGTTAGAGCACCAGGTTTTACAAAGGACTTTATAAATGCTTTAATAGTTCCTGGTAAGTTATTGTTAGCATTAAGTAAGTTCCTTATGCTTCCATCATGTACGTCCATAGCACTATGTAAAAAATCTATACTTTTCTTGTAGTCAGCAATAGACTGACTGTGATTTTTTAAAGATTTGTCAATACCGTTAAGCCACTCTTCATGCATGTCTGATACTGAGCCAAGAATATCATTTGCTTCCTTTAGTGTATTTTGTGCTTCTCGTAAAGTATCCAATCCCGTACGTGCATTGTTTGCTATACGTCTTACAGTATCTATTTGACTCCTTGTTTCTTGCATCCAACCAGATAAAGTTTTAATAGTATCCGAACCATTTGAAATGAAGTTCAAAGCATTTTTAACGTCATCTAAAACTTCTTCACCAAGTACTGCCCATATCTTTCCGATTTGGTATTGAAGAACTCTATATGAAGCAGCTGTTAAACCAGTATTTATAAGGTTCCATATCCATGATTTAGCAGTTTTTCCATCCTTTCCATCTTCACCATCCAAACCGTTTTCGCCTTGAGGTCCTTGTATTCCTTGTATTTCTTGTATTCCTTGTATTCCTTGTGGTCCTTGTGGTCCAGTGTCACCCTTCTCTCCTTTCAGTTCATCTTTATGTTCGTTATAATATTCTAATGTCATAAGGTGTACATCATTACTGCTACCAGCAACGCCGAGAATTTGTTTCTCATTCATGACTAAATTCTTTAGGCATTTAATGTTGTCGTCAAATCGAAAGCTCTTTAACAATTCAATGAGAACATTTAATACTTTCACTAATGAGGCATCTACTGTAGAATTTATATATTGCACCGTTCCATCATTTATGATGGGAACCTTGCTTATTGTAATGAATGGGTCATACGTGTTAAAAGTATCGAAATCAATGACTTTTTTAGTTTTGCCATCGTCAATGACTAAATTGTTACCTTCCACTGTTAAAGTTGAGTTTTCGTTTACTAGTTCATGTGCTCTTCTTGCTTCATTTGTTTCATACGCATATGCAGCAATAGTCATATTTTAATGAGAATAAAATGTTGTTCTATTTGCAAAGTACAGACCCAAACGAATACGGGACAGTAAAGCTACAAACAAACTTAGGTCTTCAGAATGAAGCGCTTGCTTTCAGAGTTGTTGACTTCAATACTATCGCAACTTTTGTCATAACAGATGAAACAGATTTCATAGAGATTGAAATAGATGACAAAAGAAGTGTTATAACATTTCCTAACAGAGCTGGGTATAGAATAGATAAAATTGCTGGAGTCATAGATACTCTCATAAATGAAGAAACTATTGACAACATAGATGTCGAACTCTCTTCTGAGGGAACATTGAAGTTCAGTTATGCGAAGGAGTTTAAGATAACACGAATGAGTCATAGAGTACAACTTCTTTTGGGTGCATACCATATGACATTTCCTTTGAAAAGTGTTGACAAAACGATTGAGATGAAATCTGTTCCATACGTATGTTATGGTAATTGTTTATACATTGAGTCTAAAATAGCTAATGTCACAGGCATTTCAGGAGTTAATAGTAAAGGTTCAGTAGAATATAAATCCTTCTGTTATGCAGTCAATTCAATGTTCATTCCAAATGTTCCTGTCATAGCAACTCATTTAGGTAAATGGGTTCGCATTAGTCCTCATAATTTGAAAGACATGCAATTCAGACTTGTTGACTTTCAAGGAGAGCCTGTAGAACTGAAGGCACCAGTGCGAATGACTGTTGAAGTTGACTTTTTAGATAATATTAAATGCAACAGCTTACAAGAGAACTCAGAGCTAAAAATATAAAGTATGAATGTTATGTATTAGGTCATGAACTTTGGTTGTTGCTGTTTGATGAAATAAATGAGTTAGTTATATCAGTCAAGAGAACAGAAAAATATTGTGTTAGTGAAAACTGCACCAAGTCAATAAGATTAGGTTTGCATTATGAAGATGAGTTCGATACTGTTGAAGAAGTTTTGGATAGATATTACAAATTGCTAACTTGAAATTTTTTGACTGACGGCGCAAAGCGCCAAGACCGAAGGTCCTGACTGCTTTAATTTACTAAAACATATTTCAAACAAAGCTTATAGTCAGTAGATAGTTTTTTATACTCGTTCGAATATCTATACTTAAACTCAACTCCTGTAGTTCCTGGTGTTTCAATGATGCGGATGTTACCTATTTTCATGAATAGTGGAGTTTGACCACAGCATTCGATTTCAGGGTCGAGATAGTCAATGACACATTGTTTCCCTGTTATTCGTGAGATAACATTTTCAAGGTCCTCCTTTGTTAGAATTATTTGGTTCTTGCTTATAAGATTTGTCAAAAGCTTCTTATCGTCTTTGAGTAAAATTGTTTGGTATAACTGAAGAAGGTAATGGTCTACGTTATCTGAAGGATTTGTTTGAACATTTGTGTAAGGGTTGTCGTTGGCTTCTCTTGAAAGAATTTGGTCCAGTGGTGGATACTCTAACTTAACATCTGATGTAGCGTTAGCGTTAGCGTTTGAAGCTGAGTTTAAATTCACCGACTTAAGTTCTGGTTCTTTTTCTTTCAAACACTCCGAACTATAGTTCTTTATGACAATATTGTTTGTCGTTCGTGAGTCAACATTTGATGTTGGTTCAATTGGAACATTAACGGCACCAGCTAAGATGGATTTGCTTCTCATTTCATATAGAATAAAAACCTTTTATATGTATGAAATGAACAATATACTCGACAAGGGTTTGAATGTAAAGCTAACGAATGAAAATATTGTTGAATTCACCGAGACAGGAGCTGTGTATAAAGATGTAGAACTACAGAACAAAAGAGCTAAGGGAAGAAGCAGGAACATGAACAAAGGGTGGAAGCCTATAAAATTTATGTCAATGATGGCTCAGGAGGTTCAAACATAAAGTATGCAGAAAGTTATAGAGTTTATGCTCTCAAAGGTGAAAAGCCTTCATTTAAGAACAGCTATTCTAACGCATATCCTCAAAAGCTAACGGATGGGGAAGTGGATGATATGAATGACAGCAAAAATATTAACAGAAATAGCGACAGAGATGCATGGAATTTGTTTACCATCAGTCAATTGAAGGTTAAACTTTAAAACAATGTTGGTCGTTCCCATGGAATATTTTTGACTTTAATGGTATTAGTCATGATATGAATCTCAAGGTATGAACGAGGAGAGATGAGAGACTTATATGCTTCCCAAATTTCTTCAAAAGGTAATGTTATACCTGACTGTTTCCAAATGAGTTCAATATCATAACGTGAGAAACCTTGAAAGATAACGAAGTCAGTTATGAGACGTTTTATGTTTAAAGCTAAAAACCTCCATGTTTGCATAAGTATTGCTACAGTTAAATGGTAATGTCTGACTTTAGTAATGATGTTAGCTAATGGTGAGTCTGGTTTTGACACTAAACCTTTTCCGGCGAAGTCGTCGCAAACGAGCAGAGTGTTTGAAGGATATTTTTTGAAGGGGTATTTTGAAGGTTTTGATAGAATGTAGTTTGTAAGTCGTTTCATATCGTAAACTCCTGAGTATTGACGTAAGTGGTGTTTGTCAATAATTCTTTCCATCTCCTCAGAGGTCTTTTGCATTCCTGACTGTATAAATTCAACGATGGCATAATATTTCCTCTTACGTCGAATGTAACGTTGAAGAAATTCAATGAGTTCACTGTCTGGAACTTTAACGACAGAGGCTTGAACTTTTGACATAAATGTTTTCGCTGTTGAATCCATAGAGTCTGAAGTTGCTGATATAATGATTTGGTCATAGTAAGAGTCGTTTCCTAAACGCTCTGTTATGAGTATATGACGAATGAGGTTAAATGTCTTACCTGAACCCATCTTTCCACAATAGAAATACACACCATTTGAACAGAACTCATAGTCCTTACTGAAAGGAAGAATAAGAGAAGAGTTAAGTTTGTCTGTAGTTTCATTCATGTCTTCATCTACTTCTTCAAATAAATGTTTCATTTTATTATAATTAAAAATGCAAGTCAGAAATATTCAGAACATAGCACCGAGTCTAACTGACAAGAGTATAAAGATATACTATGAACATGTTATGATGAAACCAACCAAAATTCAAGAAAGTCAGTATACTTATGAATATCCAAGACACTGGGTAGAGTATGTAGGAGGTGAGAAAGCTATTGAAATAAGACAAGTTAGAAGTATTCCAGCAGGAAGAACAATATTATTGAAGAACTTTAATGTTTTGAGGTATAATGATGAAACAAAGAAGCAAGATATTTTTCCTGTTGCTGTGTATGTGAACTTAGATACAGGAGATGACATGAAAGTTTTTAATACAAAGCTTCAAACGGTAGTGAGAGAACAACTTACTGCGGAAGGACATCCATTACCTTCAGAAGTTACCATAGCATATAATTTTGAAACAAACTCAATAGATTTTAAAGTCGTCTCTGCAAAGAAGTCAGGTTTTACATTTAATGAAGCAGATGTATATTCGAATGAAAACTTCAAAGCTATTGCATGGTTAGATAATGACGATTGCTTTAAGAAAATATTTAAATACAGTGACTCAACGATGTCAATAGATGACCTTCGTGGAATGTTACCATCGACGTTTACAGTTGAAGGTTCAGCAGGATTGCTTACAAGTTTTTCAATTGGTGGTATTTGGTCTCGTGAAAACATTGTTATAAAATCCAGTATAAGTGAATTTGCTGAAGAATCTATATTATGTCTTTCAAACTACATGTATTCGCCGCCGAAGCATTATAGTATAACAAACTTTGTCAGTAAGTTTAACATAAGACTTGTCGAACCTTCTTCAATGAAAGATGTTGTGCTACCTAAAGATGGAAAGGATGGACTCATTATTGAGATGATTTTAATAGCATATTAAATGAGTTTGTTTTTGAAGGTCATTCATGATGAAATAATTGTTGTAGAAGATGTTAGCAATTGTTCAGACATTTTGAAGCGTATAGATGAGATAAGAAAGAAGTTAGATAGACCGCAAAGCGGTGAGGGCGAAGCCCGTGAGAACGCTTATGTTTCATTGACTTTCTCCAGTAACGAGAACTTTTATGAGATAATATTGAAGAGAGATGATTTTAATATGGTGTAAATGGTAGCTTGGGCAGCTTTAGGCGCAATGGGAACAAAAGCATTAGCATTTGGAGCAAAAGCACTTGGAGCTTATGACGCAGTAAATAAAATGAGTGGAGGAAGGGTTTCAAAGACATTAGATGCAAATAAAGGAAAGATTGGAGGCTGGGTTGCAAAGAAGTTAAGATTAAATAAAATAGGGCTCATAAATAAAGCATCCAATTTGGTTGCGACTGAGTCAGAAAATGCTTTAGGAAAGGACGATGGGTTTGCAAAACACGCAAAAGACTTTAATGACCAGATGAAAGGTGAAACAATGCATTTAAATAGAGTCGATGGAACTAAAGAAAATGTTTCTTCTCCACCAGTAGTTCTTCCGTATGGTCCCTATGGAATGTATGGAAACCCTTATGAACGACCATTTGACCCATTGACTGGTGGAAGTAACTGGTATCATTACGGCCGAAGAAGAAAGATAGTCAAGTTGGAGACAGACGTGAAGAAAGCAACTAAAAAGAAACCAAGGAAGAGAGTTATAAAGCAATGAATTCAACAGGGTAGAAAAGAGGTTAGATATCGGGTTAGATCTAACCTTCTACCCTAAATTTATTTTTGCATTATGTTTTCATACGTGTGAGGGTGGTGATATCATTTATTTTTAAGTTTATTTTTATATAAATGACGAAAACTATTGAGATAACAAACTACAACGGTCATGAGTTCAAGAATTTGTTCTTCGTTCCTCGTGAAAATACATTCTATCAGATACGAGGGAGAAAGGGTAAAGTTAGTTTGAGCGTTTATGACTACAAGCATAATGGAAAGTTTATACAAGCATACGATACAAACGGTAAGCGTGTTTCATTAGCTTTGTCAAAACTTACTAACATTTATTTTGACAGTGATTTTGACCTATATGAAGAAGAAAGTGAGTCAGAAGAATATGAACTGTTATGTGAAGCACAGCAATGGGAGGAGTTGCAATACTTTTGTAAGTGAGAACGTTTATTTTTTACATTAGTGAGGTGAAGTGGTTGGCGGCTTTGTAAATATTTAAGGTTAAGATAGTGTTGTCGTTTGTGTTGTAAAATATACGTTAACAGTTTTGTAAAGTGTCAAATTCACATATAATGGATAAGGAGGCGCGCAGTGACTCCGTACCCATGATATGTATACTAACTCATACACATACCATTGCAAATATTACAAACTTACAAGAAACCTTAAACAGGAAAAGTGCCGTTGGACATACACATACATCTTCTGAAATAACAGACTTAAACGTTAGCCTTGAAAATAAAGCAGATAAAACATATGTCAATGAAATATACCAAAGTTTGATAGGAACAAAAAATATTGAAACTATTGTTGGTGACTTTTCTGTCAATGAAGAAAATAAATATTTTAGATGGCAGTTGCTACAGTCCTTAAAAAATGGTACACGGTGTAAACTCATTCCGAAAAATAACAATGAAATGTATGTAAGCTATAAAAAGAATGATGGTACACAAGTTAAAGTTCCATTAGACAACAACTGCTACTTAAACTTATATGGAGACGAACAAAAGAAATATTTAAGAGTTTATGAAATGGCAGATATGACATTGCCTGACCCAGCTCCAGCACCACATTATTATGACTATGGAGATGACGACAGAACACCACATGTAGATGAACAAAAGCTAACATTATATTTAGATTATTATAGATATAAAAGATATAATGCAATAGAAAAAACGAGAATAGTATATTATTATACAGATGACAGAAATAAATATTATAGTCAAGATTTTACCTACCCTGAAAACATAAGATTATATTATAAAAAATATTCTGACACAAACCAGAAGAAACCTGAAATAGTTGCACTATATTTTAAGTTCAAAAGAGACAATCCTATAATATCTCATATGTTTGATTTAATGAACCCAGTAGGTTCTATTTATACATCTATGGATGCAAGAGGTCCTCAAGTAATGTTTGGTGTTGGTGCATGGGAACAAATAGTCGACAGGTTTTTGTATTGTGCAAACTCTTCAAAGGAAACAGGTGGAAGTAAAACGATTTCAGGTGAAAATTTACCTGCACACAGTCATTACATATATTTAAGTACATCTCAAGCAGGTTGGCATAGTCATAGATATTGGGATTGGTCAGGAATGACAAAAGGTAAAGGATATGATGTTAAAGACGACGTTAAGTTTGCTATAAATTGTTACTGGAATAACACGCAGGGAGAAGGAAACCATACACATTTCGTTTCAGGATATACACAAACAACGGGACAAAGTAAAGGAGTATATAAGAATTTCCGAAAAAGTGACACCCAAAAAGTGACACTTTCAATAGGGAGTAACACTTAAAAAGTGACAATTTAAAATTCACAATAAATAAAAATAATAAATTTTTTAGTCTATTAAATTATTCTTTTCTTTGAAATCCTCCAAAAATTCTTCGAAATGTTCTAAAATATAACCTGGAGAATTATAACAAAATTCATTAATTTCTAACATATACGTATCTAACAATTCATTTGGAATTTCAAACGATCTTAAATATGTAATTGAATTTTGTATCTTCTCATTTATTTGAGAAAGTTTTTCTTCAGCATTTTCCAATAAAAATCTTAATGGATTCAAATTGGCTTCTTGATTCTGAACAAAATTTAATACTTGGTATAAACGTGATTGAACTTCTCTTTTCAATTTTGTTTTATAATCTGTCAATCGAGGCTCGCGAATTCTAATTGAAGGAATAAAACCTGTTTGAAGTAAATCGTTTTTAATACGATAAAAGTAATTGGGTGCAACTTCTTCTAAAAGATTTTTGACAAAAACATCAATTCTTTGATTTTTAACGCAGCCAAAATCGTGATATTTTATCTTTTTAAATAAAGATTCAGAAACGTTATTCACAACGGTTAATTCATTTGGTCTGGCAGCGGCTATCCACATCATAGCCAACAATTCCTTATACAAAATTCAAAAACTTGGGTGCAATCAGTTCTGATTGCACCCAAGTTTTTGAACTTTCTTGAGGGAATTAAAGGGTGAGAGATTTATAGTCTATCTATATATCTCCCACCCTCTAATTCCCTCCCTGACAGCGGGAAACTTTGTCTGAATGTTAAACTATTCAGACAAAGTTTCCCACTGTTTGCGAAGGAATTGTTGGCTATGATGTACTGATTCATGATCAGTACATCATAGCCAACAATTCCTTATATAAAGTTCAAAAACTTGGGTGCAATCAGAACTGATTGCACCCAAGTTTTTGAACTTTCTTGAGGGAATTAAAGGGTGAGAGATTTATAGTCTATCTATATATCTCCCACCCTCTAATTCCCTCCCTGACAGCGGGAAACTTTGTCTGAATGTTAAACTATTCAGACAAAGTTTCCCACTGTTTGCGAAGGAATTGTTGGCTATGATGTACTGATTCATGATCAGTACATCATAGCCAACAATTCCTTATATAAAGTTCAAAAACTTGGGTGCAATCAGAACTGATTGCACCCAAGTTTTTGAACTTTCTTGAGGGAATGGAAGAGTAAGAGGTATACATTATGAATATATACCTCTTACCATTCCATTCCCTCTCTGACAGCGGGAAACTTTGTCTGAATGTTAACTATTCAGACAAAGTTTCCCGCTTGTCAGCGAAAGAATTGTTCCATCTGGTGCATAGAGTGTGAATCTATGCACCAAATGGAGCAAGTCCTCGCGAAATTGCCAAACTTGCGTCGCATTTCAAAGATTGTGACCCAAATTTTTGGCGATTTCTAGTAGAGATGGAGTATTTTGAGTCACTGACCTATATGCAGTGGCTCAAAGGGCTCCATCTCTACTTTGAAGCAAGGAAACTTTCCTCGAAATTTTGATAATTTGAAGAAAGTTTTCAAGCAATTAACAAAGGATTACTCGCTATGAGGTTAAAAATTCTAGATTTTCACCTCATAGCGAGAGCTTCCCTTTCATTGCTTGAAAACTTTCCCCAGCTTCAAAATTGGGGAAAGGGCTGTAAAGTCGACTCCGATACCAGCAGGTACCAGAGTATTTAAAAGAGAAGCCCTCGTACGAGTTTCTATGAAGACCTTCTCATTCAAGAAGATCTTAATAGAAATCGTACGAGGGCATTGGAAACTCGCGTCTGGTACATGTTGGTACCAGAGTGTTTGAGATTTGAAGACTCTGGTACTAACATGTACCAGAATTTATGATGAATTTAAGATGGACCATTATAAAATGGTAGCGGTTTGTTTCAAAAAATTTTAGATGAGATTTGCATAGATATAGATTATATGATTTATACATATGAAAAATAATATATAAAAATATAATTTTGAGATAATTATGTAAATAATATTTTAAATATTTGAATTTGAGGTATAATTTTATAGTAAAATATATTATAAAGAGTATTTATATAAATATTGTAAAATAATATAAGTAATAAAAATTGAGACCCCCTCCCTGTTTTTGATGTTTTGTCACTTTTTCGGTAATTCTTATTGTTTCTTACTGGAATAACACGCAGGGAGAAGGAAACCATACACATTTCGTTTCAGGATATACACAAACAACGGGACAAAGTAAAGAATACATGCCACCTTACATGACAGTTTACGCATGGTATAGAATTGCTTAGTCGTCATTTTCAACTTCTTTAGCATATTCGTCAGGAGTTGTCTTATATTTGTTAGGAACTGTCTTTGAAAGTATACCACCTTGAACTTTGACAAGTTTGAAACGAGGTCTGACAATAGTAGTTTTATCTTCTGCTTGCAGTGTGTACATTTTGCCATGTTTTCCTAAAACTTCATAATATTCTCTTGTATACTTTCTTCTATTTTTACGAACACGAATGTGAGTACGTGTCGGGTTCCCATTGTTGTCATAGTCAATAGTATTTTCATATGGGTCGCGTTTAGGTATTTCTATTTTTACTTTGTCACCTTTCTGAAGTTTGAAGCCCGGCATTCTTTCTTGTTTGTCTCTTTTGACTAAATTATTAAATATATAGTCTTTCTCTAAGTCAGGGTTGTTTTTCATTTCTTCGGGGGAGTGGTTTCCCAAACCTTTTTGTTTACGGTTATTGTAAATATTTAAAACTTGTCTCATCTTTGCCATGGAGAAGTGTCTATATTTGTCGTCATATGACATTTCATTTGCTTCACCACCTTGTGGTTGGTTTAAGTCTCTTAACATTTTTATACATCCGTCAATGACACCAAGAGCAGAATGGTTTTGGTCGACAATGAAATATTGGTTTACATTTTTTGAACGCAGATAGTTTTTTACATCATGTGATTTGAAAGAACTTTCACAGTCAGATGTCAGTTTTGTTGGATGGTATTTGTCAACGAATATTGTCAAAGCTGCTAAGATATCTAAAATAGCTTTGGACTGTAATGGTATGGCTTCACAGTATCTTGTGTTTTGACCAACAAATATTAACCAGTATGGTGGTCCATCTTCTCTATACCTCGGAATGTTTTCCAAGATATCCATAAACCAAGTATTTGGTGTTGAACTAAAGATTTTTATCATGAGTGCTTTCTTTGTCGCTTTAGAAACATAGGGGTCCTTGTTCGGATTCGTCATTTTTTACCCTATAAGAAATGGGTTTATTTGGCGCATTAGCAGGAGTCGCATCTAGATTTTTACCCGCAGTGGGAACAATAGCCAGAGGTGTATTTGGAGTTGGAAGGAAGATTTTGAGTACATTAGGTATACTTAAAGAGAAAGCACAACCTATTATACAAACTGTACAGAAAGGTTGGGATGTAGCACGAGATGAAACAAATCTTATTCCAAATCCTGAAACAAGAGGAAAAGTTCAAGGATGGATGGACAATGTAGGAAGACAAGCAGGAAACTATTATAACAAAGCAAATGACTACTATAACCAAGCAGGACACTATATGGACCAAGGTGAAAGATTCTTTAACAGAGGATATAACCATGCACAACAATGGGTAAGCAATAACCAACCGCAACCACCTCAAACTTGGGAAATGTAAGGTTTTTAACTAGGATGAAATGAACAATGCAGCATTGAGACAAATGAGTTCAAGATGGATTTGTCGGCTTCCAGCATTTAAACCGATACCATATAGTCAGGCTCAGCATGTGAAACTGAATGATATTATTAAAGGAACCATCCCACCTCCACAACAACAACCAGTTGAAACAAACCAAATTAAAATTTTTTACTGAGATGAAATGACCGAAGAAGTTGAAACGGTAGATTTGACACCACAAACAAAAAGTTCAGAACCATTGTCAAAACCTGTCAAAGAACTTACAGATGAAGAGAAAAATTCAATAATAGAAAGTGCCAGGTCTGGAAATACAAACCCTAACTATAAAGTCACTTTTCATAGAAATGGAACGGCTAGTATCTCAAAAAAGAAACAGACTCTCACAAATAAAATATTGAAGTCTGAAGGAGCTTTCGAGACAACAGATGGAAAAGTTTACTTCACTGCAACAGTTCATTATAGAACATCTCATTGACTTAGAGTCGAAATATTCTAAACTTTACAACAAACACAAAAAGTTGAAAGGAAAACAAAAACAAATGGCATATGATATTTATGAAGATGTTGACGACACAACTGTTCCTGCAAGTGAAGTAAAGTCAGAGGAACCGAAAAGTGACGAAAAACCGATAGAAGAAGAAAAACCAAAAACTGAAGATAAACCAAAACCAAAGTTTAGTTTCCAAACTAAACCAAGTCAACCTTCATTAGCTGGTATGGGTTGGCGTCAAAGACTTATGGCAGCAGGCGGTTATGTAAAGTAAAGAAAAAAATATTTTTTTATTTTTATAAAAATGCCACCATATCGAATGGATAGAAAGTCTGCTAGAATAAAAGCAGAGTTACAAAGATATGGTTGGAGAGTTTCGAAGAAGTTTAAATATAAGAAAGGAAGACCCATAAAAGTCTATGACAAACTGGCTGGTCTGACCTACGAATTAGATTTGGAAACAGCACGTGCCAATTATCCAAACAGACTAGAGAGGTTAGAAGAAGAACGTCTTATGGACATGCCTTTCGATGTTAGTGAACCTCAAGTTGAAGGAAACTTGTTTGTTAGATGAGAAATATGAAATTCACTGTTGTGAGTCATTTGAAGTCAGAAACAAAAAGACAAAAAGAGTTTTAAGCGAATGGGAGCGAAATGACGGATATGCTATTATGAAGATGGGTGGAAAACACTATCTTAAACATGTTGTCATTGCAACTCATTTTATACTGAATCCTAACAATTTACCTTTTGTAGACCATATAAACCATAAAGAAACGACAATAGACTTGAAAACTTACGTTGGGTCACTCGTTCTGAAAACAATAAAACAAAGGCAAATTTGGAGATATTGTATTCGAATTTGTCGACGAACTAGAAGATGAAACAATTGAAATTACAGACTATGGCAAGCATACGTTTGAGTTTTACTATATAGCGAAGAACAAGACTCTTTCTACTTTTATACCGGCGTAAACTATAGGAAATTACAAGTATATTTTACTAAGGCGGGCTATGCTTATGTAAACACTAGAGATACAGATGGAAAATACGTTCAAATACTTCTTAACAAATTCAAGAAGCTATATGGCATACCATTTTAAAACAATATATTTTCCATATATTAAATGCTTCAGGTTGAAAAACAAAGAACAAAAGTAGCAGATACAAAACCGTTAGACTATATCTTTACAAATGCTGGTAGGACTATTTCAGATGAAGAAATTTCATCCCGAGCATACAGGTTTGACTATCCAATTCGTTGGCTTCAAAGTCCTTCAGATGCAAAGACAATAGGATTTAGAAGAGTTTTGTTTTCAAATAGAACTAACGCATTTATGTTCGCAGTATATTTTCATGGGCAGTATGAAGGTCCTGATGGTCTAATAGACAAATTTGACGAAATGAGAATCTTTACAGTTCGTTCAGACGAAAGTCTTGAGAAAACTCTAGATGACTTTCAAACTCAAATGAACAAATATTATTGGGAATTTCAAGAAAAATACGACTCTTTACTAAATGGAACATACTATCTGAAACTAGAATATGACAAGATGAACTCCACCGTTTCATTTCAAAAGATTGAAATTAACCCTCCAAGAGATACAGAGTTTTTATTTTGGGAAGTAGACAAACGTTCTTGGGCACAATTTCTTCGGTTACTAAACCAGAACGAACCATTACCACCAGATGGTCCATTTAAATTTATACTTCCACCAGCAGATTTGATGGTTTATAGAAACGTGTTTGACCCTCAAAATGTTATGTGTCATGCAAGTTTCAGTTCAAGCAACAATAGTTTTCTATGTATTGGTAAGGACCTTTATGACTTTGCTTCTAAATTCTACGAACCACCTAGTAACAGTTTCTCTGACTTTCAAGTTTGGTTCACAACAAATGGTGTGCAACATATTATTCCATTGTACTATGACTTTTATCTCGAATTGTCTTTCATATATAACTACGGAAAAGTGCTGAAAAAGTATTGAATGTGAAGATATTAGAAAATAACATTTTTTCTAACATCGTAGAAAACTCATGAAAACAATTTATTTTTGACACTTTCACAAAAAACATAAAAAAGTGAGTTAAAATGAGATGTTTACTGAACTGGTTGGATGTCGCCTTCTGAGGTTATGTAGAACGGCTGACCCGAGAAGTGGAACAGTGCTCTGAGAATTTGTATAATTCGTGGAATTGGACTCTCTCTGTTTGGAAGTTGTATCCATGGGCGCTTTGCAAAGAACTTGAGAAGAGCTTCTTTCTTCATCTCCTTTATGTCGTCGAAAGGAGTGCCTTCTGGTACCTCAATTGGAATTCCAGTCGAAATCTCGAGATTCAAGGCAGCCCTTCCCGTTATCCAACCGTTAACAAGCTTGCCTTTTACATTCTGCCTGAGGAAGTCTTTAACAAGCTCGTTAATTTCAATTAGGTAAATTGCCTCGTCAAGTCTTTCTTGCATTCCAAGTTCTTCCATCCGACAGGAAAATATTTTCCCGACAAAGGGAAAAATTTTTCCCGACAACAGGAAGAACTCTTCCAGTTGTCCGTCCGTAAACCATTCAAATTTTCGAAAATTGAGAACTTTTTGGTCGAACTTCAGAAAAAGTTTTTCCTTCCGACAGAAAAAGTTTTTCCTTCCGACAGAAAAAGTTCTTCCATCCGACAGGAAAAATTTTTCCTTCCGACAGGACACAAACGGATGACTGACGTTCCTCTTCCTGAATGCCTTCCAAAGCCAGAAGAACCGAAAGCTGCAGAACCACAACAGTCTCCTCAGCAACCTCAGTTCCAGCAAGTACCTCCGAATTACTACCAATTTCCACCTCAAGGTTACTACCCACCACAAGGCTTCCCGAACTACCCTCCTCAGCCTATGCCTTACTTCCCCAACCCTTGGTTGTTCCAGCAAGCTCCACCCCAGCAATTCCAATTCCAATCTCAATCGAAGAGAGACCAAGACTTCGAAGAAGGTCTGAACCGCTTACGCAAAGAGTATGCTACAGCTCCAATTGAGAGAAAGTTGTTCCCGGACCAAAAAATAATGTTTAGGGTAGATGGTTAGATCTAACCCGATATCTACCCTCATTTCTACCCTCATGAATTTCCTTAAGACAGAAAAAATAAAGTTAGTTTTATTTTTATTTATTTTTTTATTTTGTATGTAAGAACAGTAATGTCAGTCGAAGCAAAAACGTTCACGAACAAATCTAATGGCGAAACATTCACAAAGGCACTTATAACGGTATTGAAGTCTTACGTAGAGACAAGTATGGTTACATTAATGCAACAAATATGTGTCAGCAGTTTAGGAAAGACTTTAGAAAGTTGTTGGAAAATAAGTCCTGGGAAGAGTATTATAAGGCATTTTGTGAAGAATATAGCAACCGCCGGAATTCGGACTGTTGCTTTTTATACAAAATTCATGCAGGAAATTCTTGAGTTTTGGTTGAAAGAATACGGTGGAGCCAAAAGTGGCTCGACCTCAAAACAAGCATTTTATGAGCTTACTAAGGGCGTTATAAATGAATTCAAAGGTATTTACATACATCCTGACCTCGTTCATTTTGTTGCTGAATTCAGCAAAAATAATTTTTAGGGTAGATGGTTAGATCTAACCCGATTTCTACCCTCAGCCGCTAAGCGGCGAGACCCAAAGATCTTGAATTTTCATGAATTTTATATATTAATGTTTTCGTTAAGCCACTTTGTGCCGTCGAGTATCAATGAAAAAAAGAATATGGAGAAACCGCACTTTAATATGCAGCAGCAAATAATAGAAAAGAAACAGCGAATTTCTTATTTCACATGGTGCGAGTATCAATGAAAAAAAATGAATATGGAGAAACCGCACTTTATATTGCAGCAGAAAATAATAATAAAGAAACAGCCGAATTTCTTATTCACATGGTGCGAGTATCAATGAAAAAATGAATATGGAGAAACCGCACTTTATATTTGCAGCAGCAAATAATAGAAAAGAAAACAGCCGAATTTCTTATTTCACATGGTGCGAATATCAATGACAAAGATAAATATGGAGAAACCGCACTTTATATTGCAGCAGCAAATAATAGAAAAGAAACAGCCGAATTTCTTATTTCACATGGTGCGAGTATCAATGAAAAAAATGAATATGGAGAAACCGCACTTTATATTGCAGCAGCAAATAATAGAAAAGAAACAGCCGAATTTCTTATTTCACATGGTGCGAATATCAATGACAAAGATAAATATGGAGAAACCGCACTTTATATTGCAGCAGCAAATAATAGAAAAGAAACAGCCGAATTTCTTATTTCACATGGTGCGAGTATCAATGACAAAGATAAATATGGAGAAACCCACTTTATATTGCAGCAGCAAATAATAGAAAAGAAACAGCCGATTCTTATTTCACATGGTGCGAGTATCAATGAAAAAAATGAATATGGAGAAACCGCACTTTATATTGCAGCAGCAAAATAATAATAAAGAAACAGCCGAATTTCTTATTTCACATGGTGCGAGTATCAATGAAAAATAAATATGGAGAAACCGCACTTTATATTGCAGCAGCAAATAATAGAAAAGAAACAGCCGAATTTCTTATTTCACATGGTGCGAATATCAATGACAAAGATAAATATGGAGAAACCGCACTTTATATTGCAGCAGCAAATAATAGAAAAGAAACAGCCGAATTTCTTATTTCACATGGTGCGAGTATCAATGAAAAAATGAATATGGAGAAACCGCACTTTATATTGCAGCAGCAAATAATGAAAAGAAACAGCCGAATTTCTTATTTCACATGGTGCGATATCAATGAAAAGATAAATATGGAGAAACCGCACTTTATATTGCAGCAGCAAATAATAGAAAAGAAACAGCCGAATTTCTTATTTCACATGGTGCGAGTATCAATGAAAAAAATGAATATGGAGAAACCGCACTTTATATTGCAGCAGCAAATAATAAGAAAAGAAACAGCCGAATTTCTTATTTCACATGGTGCGAATATCAATGACAAAGATAAATATGGAGAAACCGCACTTTATATTGCAGCAGCAAATAATAGAAAAGAAACAGCCGAATTTCTTATTTAACATGGTGCGAGTATCAATGAAAAATGAAATATGGAGAACCGCACTTTATATTGCAGCAGCAAATAATAGAAAAGAAACAACCGAATTTCTTATTTCACATGGTGCGAATATCAATGACAAAGATAAATATGGAGAAACCGCACTTTATATTGCAGCAGCAAATAATAGAAAAGAAACAGCCGAATTTCTTATTTCACATGGTGCGAGTACAATGAAAAAAATGAATATGGAGAACCCGCACTTTATATTGCAGCAGCAAATAATAGAAAAGAAACACCGAATTTCTTATTTCACATGGTGCGAAATATCAATGACAAAGATAAATATGGAGAAACCGCACTTTATATTGCAGCACAAATAATAGAAAAGAAACAGCCGAATTTCTTATTTCACATGGTGCGAGTATCAATGAAAAAAATAAATATGGGAAACCGCACTTTATATTGCAGCAGCAAATAATAAGAAAAGAAACAGCCGAATTTCTTATTTCACATGGTCGAATATCAATGAAAAAAAATGAATATGGAGAAACCGCCACTTTATATTGCAGCAGCAAATATAAGAAAAAGAACAACCGAATTTCTTATTTCACATGGTGCGAGTATCAATGACAAAGATAAATATGGAGAAACCGCACTTTATATTGCAGCAGCAAATAATAGAAAAGAAACAGCCGAATTTCTTATTTCACATGGTGCGAGTATCAATGAAAAAAATGAATATGGAGAAACCGCACTTTATATTGCAGCAGCAAATAATAATAAAGAAACAGCCGAATTTCTTATTTCACATGGTGCGAATATCAATGACAAAGATAAATATGGAGAAACCGCACTTTATATTGCAGCAGCAAATAATAGAAAAGAAACAGCCGAATTTCTTATTTCACATGGTGCGAATATCAATGACAAAGATAAATATGGAGAAACCGCACTTTATATTGCAGCAGCAAATAATAATAAAGAAACAGCCGAATTTCTTATTTCACATGGTGCGAGTATCAATGAAAAAAATGAATATGGAGAAACCGCACTTTATATTGCAGCAGCAAATAATAGAAAAGAAACAGCCGAATTTCTTATTTCACATGGTGCGAATATCAATGACAAAGATAAATATGGAGAAACCGCACTTTATATTGCAGCAGCAAATAATAGAAAAGAAACAGCCGAATTTCTTATTTCACATGGTGCGAAGTATCAATGAAAAAAATGAATATGGAGAAACCGCACTTTATATTGCAGCAGCAAATAATAGAAAAGAAACAGCCGAATTTCTTATTTCACATGGTGCGAATATCAATGACAAAGATAATAATGGAGAACCGCACTTTATATTGCAGCAGCAAAATATAAAAAGAAACAGCCGAATTTCTTATTTCACATGGTGCGAGTATCAATGAAAAATAAATATGGAGAAACCGCACTTTATATTGCAGCAGCAAATAATAGAAAAGAACACCGAATTTCTTATTTCACATGGTGCGAATATCAATGACAAAGATAAATATGGAGAAACCGCACTTTATATTGCAGCAGCAAATAATGAAAGAAACAGCCGAATTTCTTATTTCACATGGTGCGAGTATCAATGAAAAAAAATGAATATGGAGAAACCGCACTTTATATTGCAGCAGCAAATAATAGAAAAGAAACAGCCGAATTTCTTATTTCACATGGTGCGAGTATCAATGACAAAGATAAATATGGAGAAACCGCACTTTATATTGCAGCAGCAAATAATAGAAAAGAAACAGCCGAATTTCTTATTTCACATGGTGCGAGTATCAATGAAAAAAAATGAATATGGAGAAACCGCACTTTATATTGCAGCAGCAAAATATAGAAAAGAAACAGCCGAATTTCTTATTTCACATGGTGCGAGTATCAATGAAAAAAAATGAATATGGAGAAACCGCACTTTATATTGCAGCAGCAAATAATAATAAAGAAACAGCCGAATTTCTTATTTCACATGGTGCGAGTATCAATGACAAAGATAAATATGGAGAAACGCGACTTTATATTGCAGCAGCAAATAATAGAAAGAGAAACAGCCGAATTTCTTTTTTCACATGGTGCGAATATCAATGACAAAGATAAATATGGAGAAACCGCACTTTATATTGCAGCAGCAAATAATAGAAAAGAAACAGCCGAATTTCTTATTTCACATGGTGCGAGTATCAATGAAAAAAATGAATATGGAGAAACCGCACTTTATATTGCAGCAGCAAATAATAGAAAAGAAACAACCGAATTTCTTATTTCACATGGTGCGAATATCAATGACAAAGATAAATATGGAGAAACCGCACTTTATATTGCAGCAGCAAATAATAGAAAAGAAACAGCCGAATTTCTTATTTCACATGGTGCGAGTATCAATGAAAAAAATGAATATGGAGAAACCGCACTTTATATTGCAGCAGCAAATAATAATAAAGAAACAGCCGAATTTCTTATTTCACATGGTGCGAGTATCAATGACAAAGATAAATATGGAGAAACCGCACTTTATATTGCAGCAGCAAATAATAAAAGAAACAGCCCGAATTTCTTATTTCACCATGGTGCGAATATCAATGACAAAAGATAAATATGGAGAAACCGCACTTTATATTGCAGCAGCAAATAATAGAAAAGAAACAGCCGAATTTCTTATTTCACATGGTGCGAGTATCAATGAAAAAAATGAATATGGAGAAACCGCACTTTATATTGCAGCAGCAAATAATAGAAAAGAAACAGCCGAATTTCTTATTTCACATGGTGCGAATATCAATGAAAAAAGATAAATATGGAGAAACCGCACTTTATATTTGCAGCAGAAAATAATAAGAAAAGAAACAGCCGAATTTCTTATTTCACATGGTGCGAATATCAATGACAAAGATAATATGGGAGAAACCGCACTTTATATTGCAGCAGCAAATAATAGAAAAAGAAACAGCCGAATTTTCTTATTTCACATGGTGCGAATATCAATGACAAAGATAAATAATGGAGAAACCGCAACTTTATATTGCAGCAGCAAATAATAGAAAGAAACAGCCGAATTTCTTATTTCACATGGTGCGAGTATCAATGAAAAAAATGAATATGGAGAAAACCGCACTTTATATTGCAGCAGCAAATAATAGAAAAGAAACAGCCGAATTTCTTATTTCACATGGTGGCGAGTATATCAATGAAAAAAATGAAATATGGAGAAACCGCACTTTATATTGCAGCAGCAAAATATAATAAAGAAACAGCCGAATTTCTTATTTCACATGGTGCGAATATCAATGAAAAAAATGAATATGGAGAAACCGCACTTTATAATTGCAGCAGCAAATAATAGAAAAGAAAACAGCCGAATTTCTTATTTCAACATGGTGCGAATATCAATGACAAAGATAAATATGGAGAAACCGCACTTTATATGCAGCAGCAAATAATAGAAAAGAAACAGCCGAATTTCTTATTTCACATGGTGCAATATCAATGACAAAGAATAAATATGGAGAAACCGCACTTTAATATTGCAGCAGCAAATAATAGAAAAGAAACAGCCGAATTTCTTTTTCACATGGTGCGAATATCAATGAAAAAAAATGAAAATATGGAGAAACCGCACTTTATATTGCAGCAGCAAATAAATAGAAAAGAAACAGCCGAATTTCTTATTTCACATGGTGCGAAGTATAAATGAAAAAGATAAATATGGAGAAACCGCACTTTATATTGCAGCAGCAAAATAATAATAAAAGAAACAGCCGAATTTTCTTATTTCACATGGTGCGAATATCAATGACAAAAGATAAATATGGAGAAACCGCACTTTATATTGCAGCAGCAAATAATAGAAAAGAAACAGCCGAATTTCTTATTTCACATGGTGCGATAATCAATGACAAAGATAAATATGGAGAAACCGCACTTTATATTGCAGCAGCAAATAATAGAAAAAGAAACAGCCGAATTTCTTATTTCACATGGTGCGAGTATCAATGAAAAAAATGATAATGGAGAAACCGCACTTTATATTGCAGCAGCAAATAATAGATAAAGAAACAGCCGCAATTTCTTATTTCACATGGTGCGAATATCAATGACAAAGATAAATATGGAGAAACCGCACTTTATATTGCAGCAGCAAATAATAGAAAAGAAACAGCCGAATTTCTTATTTCACATGGTGGCGAATATCAATGACAAAGATAAATATGGAGAAACCGCACTTTATATTGCAGCGCAGAAAATAATAGAAAAGAAACAGCCGAATTTTCTTATTTCACATGGTGCGAATATCAATGACAAAGATAAATATGGAGAAACCGCACTTTATATTGCAGCAGCAAATAATAGAAAAGAAACAGCCGAATTTCTTATTTCACATGGTGCGAATATCATGAAAAAGATAAATATGGAGAAACCGCACTTTATATTGCAGCAGCAAATAATAGAAAAGAAACAGCCGAATTTCTTATTTCACATGGTGCGATATCAATGAAAAAAAATGAAATATGGAGAAACCGCACTTTATATTGCAGCAGCAAATAATAGAAAGAAACAGCCGAATTTCTTATTTCACATGGTGCGAATATCAATGACAAAGATAAATATGGAGAAACCGCACTTTATATTGCAGCAGCAAATAATAGAAAAGAAACAGCCGAATTTCTTATTTCACATGGTGCGAATATCAATGACAAAGATAAATATGGAGAAACCGCACTTTATATTGCAGCAGCAAATAATAATAAAGAAACAGCCGAATTTCTTATTTCACATGGTGCGAATATCAATGAAAAGATAAATATGGAGAAACCGCACTTTATATTGCAGCAGCAGCAAATAATAGAAAAAGAAACAGCCGAATTTCTTATTTCACCATGGTGCGAATATCAATGACAAAATAAATATGGAAAAACCGCACTTTATATTGCAGCAGCAAATAATAGAAAAAGAACAGCCGAATTTCTTATTTCACATGGTGCGAAGTATCAATGAAAAAAAAATAATATAGGAAACCGCACTTTATATTGCAGCCAGCAAATAATAGAAAAGAAACAGCCGAATTTCTTATTTCACATGGTGCGAATATCAATGAAAAGATAAATATGGAGAAACCGCACTTTATATTGCAGCAGCAAATAATAGAAAAGAAACAGCCGAATTTCTTATTTCACATGGTGCGAATATCAATGAAAAAAATGATATGGAGAAACCGCACTTTATATTGCAGAGCAGTCAGACAATAAAGAAAGAAACAGCGAATTTCTTATTTCACATGGTGCGAATATCAATGCAAAAATAATAATGGAGAAACCGCACTTTATATTGCAGCAGCAAATAATAGAAAAGAAACAGCCGAATTTCTTATTTCACATGGTGCGAATATCAATGAAAAAAATGAATATGGAGAAACCGCACTTTATATTGCAGCAGCAAATAATAAAAGAAACACCCGAATTTCTTATTTCACATGGTGCGAAATCAATGAAAAAGATAAATATGGAGAAACCGCACTTTATATTGCAGCAGCAAATAATAGAAAAGAAACAGCCGAATTTCTTATTTCACATGGTGCGAATATCAATGACAAAGATAAATATGGAGAAACCGCACTTTATATTGCAGCAGCAAATAATAGAAAAGAAACAGCCCGAATTTCTTATTTCACATGGTGCGAATATCAATGAAAAAAATGAATATGGAGAAACCGCACTTTATATTGCAGCAGCAAATAATAGAAAAGAAACAGCCGAATTTCTTATTTCACATGGTGCGAATATCAATGACAAAGATAAATATGGAGAAACCGCACTTTATATTGCAGCAGCAAATAATAGAAAAGAAACAGCCGAATTTCTTATTTCACATGGTGCGATATCAATGAAAAAAATAATATGGAGAAACCGCACTTTATATTGCAGCAGCAAATAATAGAAAAGAAACAGCCGAATTTCTTATTTCACATGGTGCGAATATCAATGACAAAGATAAATATGGAGAAACCGCACTTTATATTGCAGCAGCAAATAATAGAAAAGAAACAGCCGAATTTCTTATTTCACATGGTGCGAATATCAATGACAAAGATAAATATGGAGAAACCGCACTTATATTGCAGCAGCAAATAATAAAAAGAAACAGCCGAATTTCTTATTTCACATGGTGCGATATCAATGACAAAAAATAATATGGAGAAACCGCACTTTATATTGCAGCAGCAAATAATAGAAAAGAAACAGCCGATTTCTTATTTCACATGGTGCGATATCAATGAAAAAAAATGAATATGGAGAAACCGCACTTTATATTGCAGCAGCAAATAATAGAAAAAGAAACAGCCGAATTTCTTATTTCACATGGTGCGAATATCAATGACAAAGATAAATATGGAGAAACCGCACTTTATATTGGCAGCAGCAAATAATAAAGAAAAGAAACAGCCGAATTTCTTATTTCACATGGTGCGAATATCAATGACAAAGATAAATATGGAGAAACCGCACTTTATATTGCAGCAGCAAAATAATAGAAAAGAAACAGCCGAATTTCTTATTTCACATGTGCGAGTATCAATGAAAAAAATGAATATGGAGAAACCGCACTTTATATTGCAGCAGCAAATAATAGAAAAGAAACAGCCGAATTTCTTATTTCACATGGTGCGAATATCAATGACAAAGATAAATATGGAGAAACCGCACTTTATATTGCAGCAGCAAATAATAGAAAAGAAACAGCCGAATTTCTTATTTCACATGGTGCGAATATCAATGACAAAGATAAATATGGAGAAACCGCACTTTATATTGCAGCAGCAAATAATAGAAAAGAAACAGCCGAATTTCTTATTTCACATGGTGCGAATATCAATGACAAAGATAAATATGGAGAAACCGCACTTTATATTGCAGCAGCAAATAATAGAAAAGAAACAGCCGAATTTCTTATTTCACATGGTGCGAGTATCAATGAAAAAAATGAATATGGAGAAACCGCACTTTATATTGCAGCAGCAAATAATAGAAAAGAAACAGCCGAATTTCTTATTTCACATGGTGCGAATATCAATGACAAAGATAAATATGGAGAAACCGCACTTTATATTGCAGCAGCAAATAATAGAAAAGAAACAGCCGAATTTCTTATTTCACATGGTGCGAATATCAATGACAAAGATAAATATGGAGAAACCGCACTTTATATTGCAGCAGCAAATAATAGAAAAGAAACAGCCGAATTTCTTATTTCACATGGTGCGAATATCAATGACAAAGATAAATATGGAGAAACCGCACTTTATATTGCAGCAGCAAATAATAGAAAAGAAACAGCCGAATTTCTTATTTCACATGGTGCGAATATCAATGACAAAGATAAATATGGAGAAACCGCACTTTATATTGCAGCAGCAAATAATAGAAAAGAAACAGCCGAATTTCTTATTTCACATGGTGCGAATATCAATGACAAAGATAAATATGGAGAAACCGCACTTTATATTGCAGCAGCAAATAATAGAAAAGAAACAGCCGAATTTCTTATTTCACATGGTGCGAATATCAATGACAAAGATAAATATGGAGAAACCGCACTTTATATTGCAGCAGCAAATAATAGAAAAACACATGCCGAATCAATGCAAAAAAAAGTGGAAAATTGAGATATTTTTGATCGTCTTTTTTTACTTTTTTTCCACTCAAGAATGATCCAATAATATTCTTACATAAGATATTCTTTAGTTTTCTGGTATTTTCGAGGAAGATTTTCGGATTGATAGTAATATAATCGTTTGTTAGACGTGATGAGTTATATTATATTCATCCTCGTGAAATTGCACATGAATACATTGGGTGCAGTCTTCCAAAAATGCACTACATGTTTAGGAAGAGATTCAATTTGAATAGTATTACACCAACGAAATAAAATATGTAGAACAAAAAGTCGGCATTTCACAAATTTTGTTAATCTTCAGACAGAATTGAACTAAAAATACAAGCCTATTCAATGGAATATCATTGAAATGTGCAAGCAATTTGCTGAAACATTATTTTTGATTGCCAGTGGAGGATCAATCGTTTATCATGCTCTATTTATGCTAGAAATGCATTCTATTGTAGTATTATTTGCGGATCTTGCCAGATAATAAAACATATGAAGGAACCAATAGTCTGGCTTATATTTTACGTAATAATCTTTGAAATCAAAATTAATCATTCTCACTCAAATTTATTTGAATAAACTCAGTACTGATGATCAACAAACGTATTTTTTGATTAGAATAGAATAATTCAAAGCATTGCCAAAATGTTAATTGATTATATCCATATTTTCTCTTAACTGCATTTTCAATCTCATGAATTCGACCTTGTTATCATTTCAGAAAAGATTTTATGATAAAATGTCGCTACTAAACAATAAATGATAACTACCCTGATGGAATAAAAAAAAAAAAAAAAAAGGTAGTGGGGCTTCCAGGCACTTCGTGCCCTCTAGCCCATAAGAAATTTTTGTTTAGATTAAAATTAAAATTTTTATTCTGAAAATGTTTGCTTTAATGTTTTTTACGGATGGAAATGAACTGGATATCGTCTGAGTCTTCGCTTGTTTCCTCATCCTCTTCTTCTTCGCCCGAATTGTCTTCATCTTCACAATAACCAGATAAGAAGATGGTTATTTTGGTTTGTTCTGGTTTTTTGAGAAGCATTTTGGCTGTGCCAGTAAAAACGAACTCAAGATTTTGATAGAATTGTCTGCTTGAGTGAGTGAATTTGCATACTGTAAGTGGCATTGCAACTCGGTTTGCTTGAACAGATATTATTGAAACTTCTTCTCCATCTGGTATCCGTTCAGGAATATCTAAAGCGGCTGTTGTTATAATATGCATATTGTTTTCGTAATGCAATTTTGGATATATTTCGAATGGATGTGCAGCTACACCAGCTGGAGCAACAATGGAAAGATTCCAGGAGAAAGAACCGCGTTTGTTTTCATTCTTCTTTCCAATTGTAAGTTAAAGGATAAGGACGAAAGTCGTTGAGTGTTTCATATACGTTCCTCTTAAGTTTGGTTCACAGCAAATAATGAACTCGTCATTGCTGAAGAGATATCATAGTTGAAACATAGGCAAATTCGACAAGAAAAAGTCAACCATTACTGTCGGTTTTGAACTTTGTTTTCTAAGTGTTCGACTGTTGTTTATTATACTTTTGAAATATCTATCATAGTCATTGTTGTCTGTTAAAGGACAAATTGTTTGGATAAGCTGCAATGAGTCTTCTATATCTTGCTTCTGTTGTTGAGAATGAGAAACACCTTCTGGTTCTGTAGGAGTGTAATTTTAGTTGAACTTTGCGTTATGTTTGGTGTCTGATTTGATCTGATTGGACTGAACAACTTGAGCTTCTGTAGTTGTTGTAAGGTTGCTCTGATGTTTGTTCGACTTCTGCAGTTTCTTTTGGTTGAATTTGAGCTTCAATTTGTGTCGATTGGAGTCTGATTGGACTGAAACCTGTGTAACCTCTTTGGACATACTAAGTAAAGTATGAGGATATAAGTGTTTGACCTTTAAAAGAGCTTTTGTAAAAGAATTGTCAGTCATGCTACTACGTTGGTCTTGCATTAGACAAAAATGAACTGACCAGAAGTTTGTGGAAAATGAATATTGAATATAAAACGGTTTTCGTCAACGGAGACCCCCTATATTTTTTTATTTTTATTGAAAAGTCTCCGTTGGAAAAAAGGGCGTTTAATCTCAAATATTGAATGAAACTATAAACGTTTTTTTGTTTTCTATATATACTTTTTTGTCCAACGGTAAAACTTTTTACACAAACGGTTTTTGAGAGTCGTCGCCGTTGACTTTTTTTGTAGAGCACTCAAAATAGTATAACTTTGTCCGACAAGTAAGGTCTATCGTCGCTACAGGAAAAGTTACAGGCGTTCCAAAGAAGTACTTTGAAGAACCTTTTACCCCTTATAGAATGAGATCGGACGGTTTATTTTACAAAACTGACAACACTTTGACCGAGTAGTTTTTTGTTGCTGAACAAATAGTGTCATATAAACATCTGTCAAAAACCGTTTTTTACTTCACTTAAAATGCCACGTAAGCTACGTAAGAAATATACGTAAGAGGAAGGGAGCATTGAAACATCCAATAGTAAAACTAACACCACAAAACAGTTGCAACAACAATTATGAATGACCCCACTATGTTGCAACAAATGTCAAGCAACCCTATGCTTTTAAACCGAGTTTTGGTGCACAGAGTGGAGTTTAAGAGCGGCACTTTTAGCGAAAATGGCAGCTATGGTGGAGCTGCAGACGGAACAGCTTATAACCCTCAAAGTTCAAATGAATTTGAGTTCACTCAAAAATCAAATTAACAGATGTCAAAAAGTCAAACATAGACATACAGAAACAAATAAGTGAAAAGAAAAGAAACTAGAATATGACAGACACACAAAGAAACTCAATGAGTTAAACGTAGAGAAAAAGAAGAAAGAAGAAGAACTGAAAGAAACTAAGTACAGAGGAATATGCGCGAAAAAAAGTGTCAGAAAAGAAGCAGCAGAGTAGCAAAAATGAACAAGATATGTTAATAAATTTGAAAAACCATAACTACTCAATATAAGTACTGAATAGATGAAGAAATAAAACAAAAAGCCCTGAAGACATATAATGGATAGCGATGAGTATAAAAAAGAAGTTGAAGCAAATTAAAGGCAGAAAAACTTTTACAGTTGCAAAATCCAAATCGCGTACAGTATAAAAAATCTTAGCACAAGAAAGTAAAAATAACGACGCAGCCATATGCCAAAGGCAATGAAAAG